CATTTAGTCACCTGAATCCCAGAGAGATTTAACAGACTGTAGCAGCTGTGTTTTGAAGAAGGATTGAGCAAGCTATGCTCATGCTCACAGTTTGCATCACATAAGATGCACAGTGGATTTCTGCAAGAGCTGAGGTGTGTTCTTTCCCATGAACTGCACCAACCAATTCGGAGACCATTAACAGCTGACTGCAGGTTAGCACACAAAGCAAACACTACTTCAACAAGCCCTGTACAGTGGGGAGAGTATCATATCCACAATGCAAACAATTCCATGAGACTAAATAATCAGCCACCACCTTTATGCAGAATTTCAGACTGTCTTTTCAACTCTTTGCACCTACATCACAGAGTGCTCTGATTTTAAATGCACAGACCACCACTTGAATTTGATATTCTACTGAAAGGTAGTTTAGCAAAGACCAGCTAGATCCAATATGCTCACCACAAACCATGAGGTTGTTCTTCCATTAGTCAAAGGCTTGTGTATATGTGTTGTTACAGGACAACTGAGAAGTAGAAAAGTAATGAAGGAATGGTTAGGATGAGAGGAAAGTTAAATGAAAAGTGAGGACTCAGATCCCAAAGCAAAATTTATGTGCAGATTGTACTTGTATCTATGAGATCACATCCCTCTTTATGTGTTGCCACCTAGGACACAGAACTGGGACAGCCATGCTTCACTAGCCAAGCTATTACTTCTCCCTAGGTAAGTCAAAGTTTAGAGGCAAATGTGGACACTTCTTCCTCCTGCTTCAGAGGAAAAAAAAAATATCTTATTATCCTATCTCAAGGAAGGACACAAAGATATATTCCAAATACACCAAACAACACTAAGAGAAGAGTGAGCCATTGATCACGAGTACAGCTGGTGCACAGCAAATGCACACACAGCTCATGGTGAGACCTGCCAGCTTTGTCCCCCAGAATGACCCCATCCAGCAGTGACTCAGGTAGTGTGGCAGTACCAGTGCACCAGAGCACTCCTCTCAGGCTGATGTATCTAAAACTTCCTGACGAGTGCAAGCACAAGAGATGTAGAAGTATTGCAAAATATAAGGTATTCAAACAAATTTTAAAGGCGCCAGCTTGGCAAACACAAAAATACTACCAGCATACAGTAAATTCACCTCTTGCTGCTGCAGATGGGCTGTTTCAGCACGCTGGCCAGCCTGTTCAAAGCTTAATGAAGCATGGTGACACCATTTCACTGCAAAACAGATCAAATGCCTTGCTTATAGAAAGGGAGTATGCTGCAATGCATGGAACTGAAGCCAACACCTCCAAGTATCCACCACTGGACTATCTCACCTCCTGTCCTTCCACACCGTGATGTGCTCACCTTTCCAAAATGGATGGATCAAACTGATTTAATGCCAGTTCTTAACCGATTCTCATCTCTCAACGATTGGTGGGGTCTATGCTGGCACTACCAGTCCACTGCCGCCAAAATGCCCGGGGAATGTGGGGAAAAAGGAAGAGATGACGCAAGGGGAAAAAAAAAAAAAAAGCAGAAAAAAAAAGGAAAGTTAACTGGTCACCAGACCATTCTGTTACTAAAGATCACTGGCAAGGAATCAGTAATGAGACAGGCACGGAGAAGGGGAAAAACGAGACAGAGAACCCTCCAAATTAGGCTGCTGGCCAGACAGGGAGCTGGTGTTTTAAGAACTATGAAGAATATGCTGTTAAAGATAGGAAGAGGAAGAATAAAACCGAACTGAACCCCCAAATATATCTATATCAATACTCCTAAATCGCAGAAAGACACAATTCACAGACGTGGGGACACAGCCTGCGGTACGAACGATGGTATCTTCTTTCCTCAGTCAGGAGCAGCCCCCGGGCGGTCCCCCCGGCTCGGGCCGCGGCTCCCTCTGCGGCCACCGGGCAGCGCGGGCTCTGCTCTGCGCCGTCA